AAGGCCTTGCTCCAGATGAACCAGCCTGCCCCTCCCAGTTCTGTGCCAGTCCAGCCGCAACCTATCATGAACCCAGCCAGTGGTGTGTATCTGTTGATTTTGTCAAATTTAGTTTTTATATCAGCGGCAGTGCATGAAATGTGTTGTGTAATTTTCAGCAGTGAATGGCAATTATTTCAGTTCTTCCTTTGCACAACGTTCATAGTGTATTTTTTCAACATGCATTTTTTTGTGTGTTCACATATGTAAAGCAAAACAATAAAAAAAAAAAAGAAGAAAAAATTATACCGAACAAGTCAGGCACAGTCTGGTTCTTACCTGTTACTACTTGGTGTACCTCAGGTCTGTCCATACAGTTGGAATTTGCCCTAGGTGAGGGAAGACTGAGGCAGAACGTTACGCGTCCTGTTTGACATGTTTGGGAACTCTGACTCAATAGCTACTTTTGCACATGCACACACTGTGTGATGTCCTTTAAAGCCATGTGAGAATATAGCAGGGAATCGGTCCACTGAAATCACAGCGAGCGAGCCTCTCGTCCTTCCTCTCGCATGCTCTACCTGGCCGCCACCCCTCATCTAAACAAACAGAGTTTCCAGTATTAGAATGCATCTGAAGTGAACCATCTCCAATATGGTGCTACATGTCAGAAAGGCCAGTTTTGGACAAAGGCCAGATCAGAAACTGGGTAGAGATTAAAGATTACCGATCTGGTAACCCATTGTTAGTCATCTGTCAACTGTTGACAGACAGGATTGTTTGATTTCAGTGGCTGATGGCAATGATTAATTCGGAGATGAAAGATTATGACCATCTCTAATTCTTCTGTCTATTTATTCCTTTTGCTTTCTATATGGGAAGTTTTTGCTTTGTTTTGGTCTCTTTGTCAGCTGACTGTAAGAAGTTTAAAAAATTCTCCCAGTCAATTAAAGCATAGATCGAACCTGTAGGATCTCTTAGACTTTGGGTTTTTTTTGGCATCGTCCCTTTAGGACCCCTCCCTGATGGCTGGGAACAGGCTATTACAGCAGAGGGAGAAATTTACTACATCAATCACAAGAACAAGACCACATCCTGGCTGGACCCACGACTTGAGCCACGTTATGGTGAGTTTGCCTTGGATTGAGATTGTTAGTGTTAAAGTGTGTTGTATTGATTAAATATAGGAAAGTCATTGTTAGACACTTGAAAATATAATTAAAAAATGTTCCCACTTGAGGGAGGTGTTCCTTCTCCACTTTTGGTTCAAAGTTAATGTAACCACACCTGAGTGCTTTGGGCTATCTAGACATAGCATTGGTGGTTGAAGGCAGATTTTGTTAAAACCCCCACCCTCGAAATTCACACCTACACTTTTGTCAGCCGTTTTAGTTATGGCACAACAGCTGAGTTTGCCATTAATCCCTCGGGCCAAACTAAAGTTAGCTCAGAGTGTGTGGTGGTCAGGGTTGGTGAATTAGTGACAGAGCCAGGTACATGTGTTCGGAGTACTCTGTGGCCATGGGAATAAGCTAATCCTCCCGTGTGCCAGAAAGACTTCCAGAGATGAGGGCTTATGTCACTCTGACTCATTTATTCGTCAGGTGACATGCTTTTCATCACTGAAGTGTTCCCCAGGGAACTTTACCCTGGTTCACAAAGGCAACATGTGTGAATCAGCGTGCGGCCCGCTTAAATTTAGTGTTAGTTTTTTACCGAGCATGGCCACTTAAAGGGCAATTTTTATGTAAGCAATTGTGTGTCCCTGTTCTGAAAGCAGACAGGAAAGTTCAAAACAGAGTTGTAAGGGGAGTGGGGCAGCTGGGGAGAGATGGAGGCTTTAATCGGCAAAGCTCTTTGAAGGTTTATAAGTCTTGAACACACAAGGCTGCTGGGCCCCTGAAAGCGAGAGAGGGGGAGAAAGAGTGAAAGAGACAGGCTCTTAACTCATTATGTGCCATAAACATGATTTTGTTCCTCATGGTAGAACATTTTTTTTAATAATAATTGTTAAAACGTCACATTTATACCGCTTGTATTTCTCATTTGCTGCAGTTTGTCTTAGGTTTACGAAAAATTGTAAAACTTGTGAATTTTGAACTGTTTTTTTAATTCCAGTAGTTTTGTTTGTTATCATTTTTTTGTATGCATTTGCACTTTTGTACTATTTAAGTGAGCTCCTGTGCTTCAGAAACCCCTATACTGCTGCTATGTAGGTCTTCAATCATAAGCCAACTGCTTTGATAATGGAGGCTAATTTGAGCTTTGAGAAGAAAAGCAGCAGAGTGCCTTTAACTGAGGGTTGTTGCCGGCTGCCTTCCCCCTGTGTGAGGCCCAGTGCAGGCACAGCCCCATTCTGCTGTAGCTCCAGACAGACTTGAATCTTTGCCAGGCCTCTTTATTCTGTGTTCCAACTCTTAATCTGTTCCAGACCTTTTCAGTCAAAGAACTCTAAAGAGGGGAGGGTATGGGAGTGGTGGAGGGGGGCAAGGCGAAAGGGGAGGAAAGAAAAACTGAGGAATAGAGAGAAAATGACGATGGGATAAACATGCATCCTGTTTAAGATCCAAAACGGTGGTGAGCAAGCTGCGAGTCCACGGTGACGTGGGAGTTCAAAAGGGGACTGGCTAATGTGGATGTCATTTCCTATATGTGTTGCTGTGGGCACGCACAGGAAATGACAGCAGAAAGGCAAAAAAATTCCCCTGGGACTTCAATGTTTTCATCTGAAGACTTGGCGTAATACTGTTTGAGTACTGTCAGAGTACTAAACCAGAAAAGCTGGAACCTTGTTGAAAATGTCGCTGTCATAGGGTAGTTTGGCATTTGTGATACAAGCAGAATTAAGAACTGTCATGTGGAAAAAGTCAGGAGCAGCTTCTTAACTCTCAAACAGCATCCCGGAGTACTTTGGATAGTTTATGTTTGAGTTTTGCCATTTTAAAAAATATCCCTTGCTTTTTTTATTTTTTTTTAATTGGTGACCATTAAATGGAATTGAGTGTACGCATTAATAGATTTCTATTAGAAGTGTCAGATACAGCTGTATTATAACCTGTTAGCCTACACTCTTGATTTTCGCCTGACTTATTTTTTTCATGCCTCTCAGAGCCAAGTCGGCACAGGCTGGTTTTAGCTTACTGAGTACAAGATGATAAAACTTTGTTTGCATCACATCCAGTCTGTTTTGCCGCTTTACTTATCTTGACGCTAGAAATACAACACCTTCCCAAGATGCCTTTTTTTTTTTTTTGTTAAACTTGTTAAATCGAAAGCAGGCAAATATTTACTTAGTCTTAAAAGGTGCTGAGGCCTGGTCATATAGAGAGCTTCCCACAGCTGGCACACCCTCAACTTTACCTGCCCCAGGTGATCTTATGGTGTAATATGCCTGCCAGTGTGATTGACTGATAAAGGGTTGTGTCGCTGGCTCGTTGTCTTGCAGGAGTGCGTGAAGAAGACAAAAGGCAGACAGCATTAACTTGTCTCTTATCTGACTGGCTCACCGACAATCACTACCTCTATGTGCTGCTTACTCAAACCACCTCTCCAAAAGTACACACACCACACTCTCACACACAGTCTTCTTTGCCTTGAGTGGCCTCCTTTTAAAATATCAGTCTGGCCCTGAAATGAACCTTTCCTTGGCAACTATCTCACCCACAGATGTAATTCCCTTCTTTGATATCTGCATTGCTTGTGCATAGTTCATCCAGTAACATTGGTTATTGTTGCTATTTGGTCTGCAAAAAGAGTCCTTGACTTGGTTTTGCAGCTGTAACTTTGCTCCCCTGAAGGAAACCGTTGACTTTAACTAATCACACAGTTTTGTTGAGCATAATTTACTTGGCAGAGAACTAACAAGGTTAGCAAATCTTCTGATTTTTGTCGTTTTTTTGTAAAATTAGGCGAAACTACGCGATCGTATTGCAGGATTTTTTCACCTTGTTCTGCAAATTGGCTGGAGGAGGAGGTGATTGGAAGCTGACTTCCCTTTGGCAGTGTTCATATGAATAAAAGGTTACTGTCATAAATAGAAACTGGGGTCAAAATAAAGACCCAGGTTTTGACATTAGAACTTCTCCTTTATCTTTTGGCTTTGTGTATCAGTGGATCTCTCCATATGTGTCCCATCGCTTTTACGCAACTCGTCTTCAAAGCTAAGGCCTTAACAGATCTGCAGCTGCTGACATGGCCCATGCGTAGAGACTCCATCATGTGAACAGTTAATGGTGCCCCGATGGCGGAGCGCTCCAGCCACAAAAGGCTTCAGTATCTGCCAAAGATAAGAAGCAGGGAGAAGTAACAGTCTCCCACGGATTCTCTTGACGTGTGTGTGTGTGTGGGGGGAAGCTGCCTACATGAGTCTGTGTGTGTGCGCGCGCTTGGGGTGGGGCTGCTGGGGAGACATTGCGGTCAGAGAGGGGAGGGGACGGTGGAAGGCAAGGCAAGGTGGGGCCTCCAAAGCTTCCCAGGGAGAGCCCTCAGCTATGGTTCATTCAGCCCCTGCAATAGTGTAAACAGACAGTGATTGAATGGTGATGAGAAAGGTGCCGGGGCGGGCAGGACAGAACAGAGAGGGCCAGACCCGCATGAAAGTTGCGCCCCCGCCCCATTAAAGCTTTGTTTTGATTGGCGCTTCAAGCACATAAGCAAACAGCACACCTCGTTGGCTCCTTTATTGTTGGTGCAACACATTCACGTTTACTCCACTGCAAATGTGTGACCTACTTTGCATGCGTAGATTGCAGCATCGCATTGTGCTTTACACTTATGTTTATTAGACCCACCCCCACTACACTGAAGAATAACAAAGATTTCCTTTGGGAACAGCTGTGTTTTCAGTACAAACACATTTGTTCTGATATTGTAAACATGTAGTCGGCTTACAAATGCTTAATGCAGTAACATTTGTTGTGCAAAAGAGCCTTTAATGTAAATTTCGAAGTGGTACTGTGTTTGTATTACAATAGGTAGGCCTGCACTATATTAATGGGCAGAGAGCAATCATATTGCATGCGTTAAATCAGCTTAAGTGGACACATCAAGCCAGGGTAAGAAGGCAGTCAGTCTCGAGGGGTAAGCGGCGATTTGTTTGGAAGGAAACAAAACGCACAATGAAAGGATAAGTCATGACTGATGCAATGTACAAAACTAACAAAGCTCGTCTTAGTCAGCGAGTGGGAGGAGATCAGGTCTTACAGGAATAGTGATTGTTTTAGATACTAGGTGGACAACTTGTGCTGGGACTTCCCTTGTCCTACACAACCTGCTGCACTGGATCCTCTTTTGCAATTTCACTATGTGGACAAATGCACAAGTTGTTGGTCTTGTTATGTAGTATTTAAATGCAGCGATGCATTAAAGAGGTGAGGTAGCAGGAAGTTTCTGAAGAGAGATGGGAAGATACTAGTCTATCTAGTCTGCTAACTAGAAATCCTGTATGCTAGTTTTATTGCCAGCTTCTGAGAGCTGACATTGTTAAATTTGCATATATCTCAATATAGTAAAGTCCAAAGGATAAAGGTGTCTCATAAGCACAGCACTTTTGCTTTTTTTACTGTCATGTCTGAATATCCCACCGCTTTGCCTAAAAAATATTTTGAAAGTGTAATGATTGTCCTCAGTATTTCCTTTACAACAAAGCAGTTAGCCACCATTTTTTGCAAAGTTTATCCTTGTCGTTACAGCATTTGGGGTCTTTGCATTATGTGCATTTGACTGATATGTAAACAACTTTTATTTTGGTTTTGTAGCTCTGAACCAGCAGAGAATTTCCCAGAGTGCTCCAGTGAAACAGGCCGGGCAGCTGCCTCCCAGCATCAGTGGAGTTATGGGAAGCAACAACCAGATGAGACTTCAGATGGAGAAGGAAAGACTGAGACAGAAGCAACAGGAGCTGCTTCGGCAGAGACCACAGGTCAGGAATCAGAGTTAAAGCAGTTCAAAATATTTTTAAGGCCTTTTGCAAGTGCCAGAGCCTCATGGAAGAACAAATACTTTTCAGTATGTTTCCACCACGACACCGAACCTCAAACTGTTCATTTGCTGAATGAGTGCAGCAGCAAAATGTTTACACTTTAAAATGTTCAGCTTTAAAATCTTTGCAGGGATAGTGGTGGATCCTAAGCCTCTTTGATCAGTCTTTATTGTTACACCACACTGCAGTGAAGTCTTGTGAGTCACCGTCCTTAATAATTATCACTTCCTAAGGTTGATGTGTCACAGTGGTGCCACCCACGCAGGGTGGAGCGGTAGTTTACTCAAGGCTGTGTCATAGTACCAGATTTGGAGCTTTATGATTATGAATGAGAGTGCTGGTGACTTTGTTTACCATGCCTCGGGTTCAGATGGGTTGTTTAAAGTTCACTGTAGGACGTGACCCGTGTGTATGCAGGCACTGGATTTTAAAGGGAAAATTATTGGAACTGTCCTTTTTAAGAGAATGTGCTCTGCATGCTTATGTAGCCTGGTTACTGTTGGCTTTTAAAGAAGGAGATTATGAGAGTATGATGAGCACAAACACTTTCTTTCAGATACTTTGAACTATTAACTATTTTAAAAGCCTTAAAATCAGAATTATGACTTTATTTACAATTTTTGTTTTTGTTACGCACATGACAAGTGCTCGCGAGCAAAAGTGGAACCAGGCTATTTCAGTGAAGCTGCCTGATTTCACTTGGTGTCTTGTGTAGACAAGCACAATTAAAATGATGGATAGAAATTCATCAGTTCTGCAAAGAAACATGAGCAACTGAATTATCCAAGCCTCAGACATCCACGGCCACCGGTTAAAATGGAAAATAAAATGTGGAAAGGCACTGCAGACCAGGCAAAGATATAAAGAGGGGTTCTGTCTAGCCGCTAGATTCCAATAAACCCGAAACCCCTGTAATTCTGCTTTGTTTGGATTATTTTGGCTATAATTTATTTACAAATCCTGTATGTCAGGAGTACATTGCTTAATGTTAGGTGTGTATGGGGAGTTCAATTTTGGAGCAAAACTTGACACAAATGGAAATGTATGCACTTATGCAGTTATGTAATGAAGAATAGGTGAGTGGCTAACTTAAAACCCTTTGTAAGGTAATTAATACTACAGGAAATAAAATGAATTATTGATGTTGCATTGACTATGACTAGCTTATAGTTAGTCCTTCACTTATGTATGGCAACATAAATGTGAAAAACCGTAGAAATGCCGCAACACAATGGAGATTGCTGCAACTTCAAATGCAAATGAGCCATCGGACACGCCTTGCTGGGCGTGTGCTGCTCAGATAGCCGGTTTAGCTAGCTTTATTTTTACGTGGTTTTGATAGTGTCAGCAGGTCATTTATCACACAACTGCAACTTTTGGTTCAGCTGAAACTGTTCCAAACTTCACTGCGACAGCTGTGTTTGAAGAGGTAAATTTACTTTATGTACTTATTGAAAGCGTAGGCTGCCTCACTTTTGTTTCAAGGAATGCACAGATGGCAGATATCAGCAACCTATACTGCACTACATGCTGCGGTGTCACTGAGCCAAGGTTGAAGCGTAATCTTATTACTGACTACTTATATTTGATTTATTTTACTTGCTGATACCAAATACTAAGTAGGAAAAAAAAGTATAATTAGTGCGTTTCCAATAGTGTCTTTGTAGAATTTTAATGAGAGCTGAAAATGGTGACTATGGTCAGCTCTGTTCACATCCCCTTAGAAGGAAGGGGGTGATAAAGAAAAACATGACTTCATATCCTCAACCTTATCTGATTCCTCATGTGTAGAAAACAATTGTCTACAACTGTGGCCGGCCCCTCATGTAATATGACACCGTGCAAGGAGAGAAATGGAGACCAACACGTCTGACAGCAGACCAGTGAGGCTGTAAAAAAACGCCTCCATGAAGCTCTAGCTGTGTATAATTAGCTTTGGATGTTAGGGGTGGCGTTGACAGTGTTGCTCATGAGTTTTTGTGTCTTATTATCCGCAGGAGCTGGCTCTAAGGAACCAGCTGCCTACCAGTATGGATCAAGATGGCAGCACAAACCCTGTGTCCTCCCCTATGGCTCAAGATGCCCGGACCATGACGGCCAACAGCTCTGATCCATTCCTCAACAGGTTCGGTTTACACATAAGCCAGGCGTGTTCGGTGTGGAACAAAATAAGGAGACGATCAACCGCTACAGTCTGATTGGCACCAGCTGACTTTTGGTTCAGCCCATCAGACTTTATCCTGTTTTAGGGATCTGTGTGCAAAAGCTTTTTGAGCTGTGGTAGTAAAAACAGAAGGCCAAACTCTGGGCCTTAACCCTCTTCACATGGTAATGACTCATTCAGAGCAGCAGATCTGTGCCTGGAGTTCAATGATGACCTCTGGTGTACAACTGCTGCAGTAAAGTCGGTCAGAGCTTAAATGGCGACGCAAGTTATGAATTAATACAAGACCACTCTTTTATTTTAAGAGTGAGACAGCCCCCCCACCCCCTCCAAAAAAAAAAAAAAAGTAAAAATCTGTTTGTCTGAGGCTATACAGATTTGAACAACAAAGGTACAGGAAGCTTTTTATTGTGTGAATGCTGCCCCACGGTATGCTGGGAAATAATTTCTAGTAGTTCAAGCTCTAGTTCTTCTGTGAGCACACAAAGTGAGGAAAAGAGCTGAATAGCAAGCAGGCCATGAGAACATGTGGTCCAGTCAGTAGACAGGCCAACCTAATCTCCCCTCCTCCCCCTGTTCCCTGCACTCCTCTGCGCTCACAATGGCCTCATTCATCGTGCCTCTGCCATACTCTGCCTACATATTTTTCTGCTAATTAGTATAGGCTTGTCAAATGTCCTCTCTCATTTTGTCTCAGTTGCCCCTTTCATTGCTGCTCTTTGCCTATGTACTGCAATATAGTATAGATTGAAAAGGGGGGAAAAAAAGTGAAGCTCACTTTCAGTGGTGTCACTGCAGATTAGTTAAGGCCGCTGATTTCAACAGTTCACTTTTAAAGTAAACTATAGGCCATTAGAGTTCATTGGTAACAGAGCAACGTTTCTAACCAACATTTCATCATTTCTGCATTTCCAGCGGGACCTACCACTCCAGGGATGAGAGCACAGACAGCGGCTTGAGTATGAGCAGCTACAGTGTCCCTCGCACTCCAGATGACTTCCTGAACAGTGTGGATGAGATGGATACAGGTGAGCCACAGAGAGTAATATTTTGACCCAAGTGGAATAAAAGTGCTCAGTCAAAATAACCATGCTGGAACCATCTCCTGCCGAGGGGTGCTTAAACATTTTCATTAACCAGTCAGATAAAGGTTTTTCAATATGAACAATTTAGCCAGATTCCTTTCTTGCCGTTTGCTTCCTGCAAATTTAGACTTGAGTCTTTTAAAAAAAATTGCAGCTTTTAATCTGAAAGGCTACATTTTTAATATAAGAACAAAAAAGATGTTTATTGTCCTGAAAACAGAATGTAGCCCTATTAGGGACACGGATCATACAAAGGCCTAAGAGATGAGGAGATGGACATAATGACATTTGTATCTGTTTCACACGTCATACTGTTCTGATTAAATGCGTCGATGCATGTGCACATCAAAACATATGAAATCCTAAACAGACGCAAACATCTGACCTGAATTCTTGACTCTTGGTTCATTTCTGTCTGAATGGGATGGACCGCACTTCTTCTGTTGGTTTGGCTTAATGATTTGCTCACGGCTGCTGATTATTATTGTACATATTTCTGCATTCCCTTCATAACCGAATGCCTTTTTGTTCACAAGTCATTACTGAAATGATTTAAAGTGAACTATTTTAATACATTATCATAAGATATGCCAATTCATTTTGGTTAACTTACATCTAATCATACCTTCTTTTTAAACTAGCTGAAGTTGAGGTTAAAAGTGACTGGTACTGAACTGCTGTAGCCTGGAGAAACCTTTTCACACCTGTTCTGGAGCAAGTAACATCAAACAGTATCAACATTTTTTTTTTTCTTCCCTCTTCATCAGGGGACCCACTTGCACCCTCCATGGCAACACAGCCCAGTCGTTTCCCTGACTACCTGGATACCATTCCTGGAACAGACGTAGATCTGGGCACCCTGGAGGGGGAGAGCATGGCGGTGGAAGGTGAGGAGCTGATGCCCAGCCTGCAGGAGGCGCTGAGCTCAGACATCCTCAATGACATGGAGTCTGTGCTGGCAGCTACCAAGCTCGACAAGGAGAGTTTCCTCACATGGTTATAGAAAAGCCGAGCTGGCCACTCCTTCCTCGCTCCCCTACCTACACTCTGAACTTCTGCCTGCTCTAATCTGTGAAGGAATCATAGATGATTTTATCAGACATTTCAGCAAGCCTCTCGGGACTTCTGTGTCTGTGTCAGCATGTAAGGCCAACCTCTTTTTTTTTTTTTTTTCCTGGCAGTATTGTTCTGTTCTCTTCACTGGTTGTGTTATCTCTGTATTTTGTCTGTGTCTTCAAGGCTGGCCTATGAACAGACAATTATGCAAGGGTCCCCAAATCTTTCACAGGCCTGTCAGTGAATCTAGGGCATATTTACCCACTGGGCAGGTGCTTCCACTCTTCTGCCCCGATCAGTTATCCCCTGGAGTCTCTGGAGCCTCTTTCTTGCAAAATAGCGTGACGCATCACTACTTAACTGTATTTGGGACTTTTGCATCTAGCTAGTAGCTTTATATTTGGCCTCATGTTTTTATTCTTTTTGTTGTTGTTGTTTTGTTTTGTTTTTTTCAACAAGCCTGAAAAACCAAAAATGATGTATTTGGAGCATAAAGAACAATACTGATTTGGAGTAAAGGTAACGTGAGGCCCATGTTGCTTGGGGTGGGGGTGGGAGGGGTTCGAACCTGCGGATTGACTGCACCGCTGCTTGGCTGTGCCAGCAAGTCTAAGTTAAACCTTTGATAGATCAAGTGCCTTCAGTTGTATTTTTTTGTTTTTTTTGAGACGCGAGCGACACGAATAAATACCCACATTTCTATAATTCAGCGACAAGCACACTGCTGTTCCGATGAACGGCAGCCATACTTCCCTCTAATGTTCAATGATCAAAATTGTATGTTTGGGCTTTTATTTTGTTCTTTTTAAACAGGAGAGGGTGGTTTCAAACGCCTAGCTTCTTGCTATCTCAGTTGTATCCCAGCCCGATTCACAATCCATTCGTCGTTTTATCTTTTTTAGTGTTCTATTTTTAGATAACTATATATGTATGATAGTTTAGATCAAATGGCATTTTACTTTTTTTTTTTTTCCTTCTTTCATACATGGATTGAATCATTTTATTTTATTTTTTTTAGACGGGGTCGTCTGTTATATCGCAGCACGTCACTTCAATGAGATCAAACCAGCCAGGAACTTAATCTTGGTGGTCTGATTCTGTTTGGACTCTTTTTAAACCCATTTATCTGATTCTCTCGTCTCTGCTTTACTGTATCCACTTTAATGTTATTGTATTTTTGATATTCACATGCAGCTTTTTTTTTTCACTGTCTTTCCTGAACATTAACCAAAAAGGCAGGTCTCTTGGCTCAGAACAAAGTATAGCTCTTTGATCAATGAAACCTTATGACCACATACAGTATACAACAGTTACAATGTTGGAACCCCCCCTGCCCCTCCTGTCTATGCGACGCTGTGTTGAGTGTTTTAAATGAAAGGTTTATAGACTGCAGCCAGGACAAGTTTTAGCAGGTTTAAGAGTCATGTCAAGGGGTAGAGTAGAGGATCAGTGTGTGACTGATGGTGGTGAGTTTTTCCTTTTGCCTGTTTTTTTTTTTTTTTTTTTTTTTTTTTTTTTTTTTTGAGGGGGGGTGGGGGTGGCATAATAAAGAAACAATCAGATATCTCAGTCAGGAATTGTTGATGCAGATTCCAAAGATGTTTTTGTAATGACACTAAAAACTTGTATTTTGCTTCTATCTTTAGAGACCAGAAACGGTATGATTTGTAAATCAGCCTGTGTTTGAACAAACTGTATAAGCTAATAATGAGAACATGTTTTAAGTGTTAATGGGCACGTCTAGCTGAGAGAGTTTTTTTTTTTTTTCCCTCCCCTTCTGTTTGGGATGGTTGTTTCGAGTGACTAACCTTGAGATTTTTAAGGATGAGGTTTCAGAGCGGTGAAAAGAGCGATTCTTCTACAAGCACTCACATGTTTACATACTCGGCCGCAGTTGAGACAACACACTGACAATTCTCACATAATCACGTTATTTTTTGATGTTTACACAATGACTACATATTTGCATTACTGCAGTAACCTTTGAATAATCAGCCTGCTGTGTGTGCCCCTGGTTTAGGCTTTGCAGGATGTCACACTGATTCTGTTGCCAACCAATACTAAATGGGTAGCATTAACTTGATGGAATATATATATCTATATGTGTATATATAGATATATATATACATATATATATAATTAGAGGACATGAATGTTTTCTTTTTTTTTTATTCATGAGAAACCTCTTTTTAGTTTTGATTTTACTGAATATTAAGTCACGTGCTGATGGATTTTTAAGATGGATAAACAGTGTTGGTGAGAACAATGCAACTAAAATGAGTGGTACACCACAGTGCTCGTATTGCACGGCTAGTTTTCGTTTTAATGCATCAATGCATTTTGTCACACAGACCTGATTTTATGCTTAGTGTGTAATTGTCAGAGCATATTAGCTGTTGACTCTCATTGTAGCAGTAGAACTAATCACAAGTTAAAGGATTTTGTATTTAGAGTTTTCTAAATGCACATGAAATGAATTTATATTCAGTAATGATCTGTTCTTTT